CTAGCAGTTGTCATCTCTTTGGCTTTACATCACACCTAAACTCCAACTTGTCCAGCAGTATGCTGTACCCTACCCTCATGGCTTGATGGAATTTCAGTACTAACAAAAGAAGAACAATGTCAGATACACATTAAGCCCTGTTTTGATATTTTGTTCACTACCCGATGAGCTGATGATGATGCTTATTATTATTTCTAAGTGTTATACTGGAAGGCAAAGCAATTCTGTAATAAGGTGACAGTTTTATTTGTGCCACCTGGTCCACTTCTCTGGGTGCTCTTCAGTGCACACCTGGGTGCCTACTCTCAGACACTGTTGGCACAAATCAGGGATTTTTTACAAGCTCCTGGTCATATACCAAAAACAAATCCCCTTGGAATACGCACACATAAAAATTGTTAAAACAGATAGAAAGGAACTACAGGGAGAAAGAACTCTTTGGTGAGCTTAAACTCAAAAAGGATGCTAACAAGAGTGGAAGCTTAGACAAACAATTTTGGAGGAGTATAAAAATATTGCTCAGGCATGCAGGGATGAAGTCAGGAAGACCAAAGCGTACTTGGAGTTGCAGCTAGCAAGGGATGCGATGGGTAACAAGAAGGGTTTCTATAAATATGTAAGCAACAAGAGAAAGGGACAGTGTGGGTCTCTTACTGAATAGGGGAGGAAACTAGTGACAGATGAGGAGGAAAAGGCTGAAATACTCAGTGCCTTTTTTACCTCAGTCTTCACAGGCAAGGTCAGCTCGCAGACTACTGCACTGAGCAGCACAGTTTGGGGAGAAGGTGCGCAGCCCTCAGTGATGAAAGAACAGGTTAGGGACTATTTAGAAAAGCTAGATGTGTACAAGTTCATGGGACCAGATGCAATGCATCCAAGGATGCTGAGGGAGTTGGCTGATTGATTGCAGAGCCACTGGCCATTATCTTTGAAAACTCATGGCAACCGGGGGAGGTCCCAGACAAATAGAAAAAGGCAAATATAGTGTCTGTCTTTAAGAAAGGTAAGAAGAAGGACCCAAGGAACTACAGACCAGTCAGCCTCACCCCAGTCCCTGGAAAAATCATGGAGCAGGTCCTCAAACAATCCATTTCTCCTCCACTTGGGGGAGAAGGGGATTAGAAACAGTCAGCATGGATTCACTAACCTGACTGCCTTCTTTGATGAGATAACTGGCTGTGTGGATGAGGAAAAAGCAGTGGACATAATATATCTTGACTTTAGCAAGGCTTTTGATACCATCTCCCACAGCATTCTTGAAGGCAAGCTGAGGAAATATGGGTTGGATAAATGGACTGTAAGGTAGATAGAAAGGATTGTCAGGCTTAATGGGTAGTAATCAATGGCTCAATATCTAGCTGGCAGCCAGTATCAAGTAGGGTGCCCCAGGGGTCAGTCCTGGGGCTGGTTTTATTCAATATCTTCATGAACAATCTAGAAGATGGGATGGATTGCACCCAACTTTTCAGATGACACAAAGCTGGGGATGTAGTAGATATGCTGGATGGTAGGGCTAGGATTCAGAGTGACCTAGACAAAGTGGAAGATTAGGCCAAAAGAAATCTCATAAGGTTCAACAAGGACAAGTGCAAAATCCTGCACTAGGATGAAAGAAACCCATGCATTGCTACAGCCTGGGGACTGACTGGCTAAGCAGAAGCTCTGCAGAAAAGGACCTGGGGGTTACAGTGGACAACAGGATGGATATGAGTCAACATGTGTCCTTGTTGCCAAGCAGGTGAACAGAATACTGGGCTGCATTAGTAGGAGCATTGCCAGCAGATCGAGGGACGTAATTACAGTATAACCTTATAAATCCAGATATCAGAAATCCAGAATTCACTTTTTAAAACTACACTCCACTGGGGAGTAGCAGCAGCCAGTCCCAGAGCAGCAGAAGGGAAAGCTTGCCCATGGCAGCTATCGCCGCCATCCACCACCCTGTGCTGACACTCTGCATGTAGTCACTGCTCCAGGACTGGCTGCTGCTCTGGTTTCAAAAATCTGGAATTTTCACATATCCAACAGGTGCTCGGTCCCAAGCATGCTAGATCCATGAGGTTGCACTGTATTCCACTCTATTCTGCACTGGTGAGACCACAACTGGAGTACTGTGCCCAGTTTTGGGTGCCCCACTATAGGAAGGATATGGAGAAGTTGGAGACAGTCCAGCAGAAAGCAACACAAATGGTTTGGGGGCTGCAAAAGCAATTCTTTCTCTCTGTATTCCCCTTCTTTCATAAGAATCAGTTCAATTGGAAAATACATATCTCTATTACTGTTTCCAATGTATGCAGAGATCATCACACAGCAGCAAATGTCCCAAATTGTAAGCTGGAGTTGATACCTCCCGTTAAAATCCAGTCACCATTTTCACCACTAACATAGTATGGACTAGTATTCTAGGGTCATGTTGTACCTTATATGCAAAGTAGGAGATGAGCTCCTGACCCTTGTGCTCTTAGCATGGCTACTTCACCCATTTAGGGGCAAAGTCTGTTCCCACCATACAGACTAGTGCAAAGATGAGGGCAAAGGAAAAAAGCTACCTTGAGTAAGAGAAGCAGAGCAATTCCTGTGCTCCTGAAATCAGGAAATAAAATTCTGCCTTTTGCATAGTGGGACTGCAAAAACAGCAGGGCAAAGCTCCCCATTCCCTCCACACGAGGCAAGGACCAACAGAATCCAGCCACAGTAAAGTGAGGTTCAGCAAAGCTAACCCACTCCAGCTATTAACTAGAGCTTTTCTGCAAGAGATTGGTTTTCTGCACTGTTTCCCTAAGAGCCAACAGGAACCCTAGGCAAGCCAATCACAGCCATGTCCCTCACTCAAACGATGTTAAATAGTTTTATGACTTACATCAAAGGATAATTTATAAACTAGTACGGGAAACACTAGGAATGAAAAGCAGATTACTTCTACCTAATCCAATGGATGCTGGGTGAGTACATTTCTATGATCTTATTAATCAGAATATTTACAAGCTCACTCTCCATGTTCATGAATGTCCAGTCATTCTTTTCTAGATATATTTTCCACAACGTTTTACAGACATAGATACATTATGTCATGATAAACTAAAATAAGAGGAACACATCCAGATGTCTGGCTGATATTTGGAACAGCAAACAAGAGAAGTCATTGCACTTAATCTACATCAAGTGTTTCTGTTTTACAACAGGGCTGCTAATAATTAATCCAGCATGTCAACTCCTGTTTCTATGGACTGCTGATTTTATAAACCCATACTTGCATTTGTGAGATTAAAAGCATAGTTTAGCAGCTTATCTTGCATTATCTATGTGGGGAACTACTTTGTGCTGATCCAGTTATAACTCACATCTTTGTTAACAATATTTAAATAGTCAGTGCAAATAAAACAATTTTAAAAAGAATTCCAATCCACCCAAACCAGCAATTTTAGATACCACCAGTGAACCCAAGCTTTTGTGAGTCTAGAAAAGTGCAAAGGTAATACTGAGCTACTATGTTGCAACACACTGACTGTGCCCAAACTGATTTCAGAATAACAAAGCTAACTACCTGTCTACATATTTTTATGGTAGTGTAAGAGTGATGTTGTAGCCATGATGGTACAGAAATTATGCAAAAGGAAAGGATTTCTTAGGATAATATCTTTCATTGGACCAACTATGTAGCTGGCATAAAGGGAGACAAGATTATGAATGCAAGACATTCTTCCTCAGGTTTCACTTTACTTGTTTTTGTGTCATTCCTAGGCATCTGATGGTGAAAGTAATGCAAAGATATGATCCAAAATAAAGAGCATGCTATTATGCAGCACATTTAGTAAACACAAATAATAGAAAAAGTTAATCAGTTGACTGTGAATTGTTGCATCTTAAAAATTAGAGAAGAGTTGGTTCAGGGGAATCAAACACTGGTGTCATCATGTACAAGCACAAACCCAGAAGATTCCAGGTAAGTGTGAGAATGTGAAGCAAGTGCCAAAACAGCAACTTGCAAAAAGCTGTAAAGTATGGAATCTTCTAAAGAGCTGTCATCCCAGGGTGCATCTACGCATGCAATTACAGCACATGAATAAATTGGTTATTCACTCTCAGCATGCTAAGCTGTGGTGGAGCAGCCCCAGCTGGCAGCATGCCAGCCTGGGGCTGCTCCTCCCAGCTCAACATGTTACAGAGGGGCTTGCTGGGGCATGAGGGTGCTGGTGCTTCAATGCAGGGCTACCCAGAAGGCAGCCTCCACTCTGAAGCACCCTTGTACCCCTGCCAGCCCCTTGATCCTCTACGTGTGGTGCTGCAGACTTTTAACTCTATAGCAGGATAGTACTTGTATTTAAGTAGTCAACTGCGAAGTAAATGCCTCGTGTAGATGTACTCATATTGTGCCTTCCAGTGCATTGAAAATGGGGAGTTAGAAATGGAGCTAAGATTAATTTCACATTCTGAACACACACTGCTGAGTACAGAGAGGTAACATACTGTATCAATGCATATGATCATTTCTCTTTCTAGTAGGTAGCCCCATTAAGGAAAAAAGCAAGGCATTTATTGACAACTAACTCAGTTACTTTTCTAGCTCCAGTGGTAAGACTTGTGCTGCTGTTGTGGAAGGTCTTGGGTATGGTTTCTGGTGCTGACCATGGGATCTGTCATGTGCAGCCATGGTTCCTTCTATTTGGATCTGGATATTTTGCTCAGCCAATTGGGAAAGAAGGGGCTTGCTGCAAGATAAGGATGCAGATTTTAATTTCAAATTCACTAGCAGAAATAAAACTGTGGGATATTAATATCTGCGGTTCTGTTTTGGGTCCATCTGAAGTCAGTATGTACTGAAGTTGCTTGGTTTCTGTGTTGTGCATCTACCTGACTGAAGACTTTAATATTTTATTTAAATAATTGTCACTTGTGGTCAATAGTATTTACAGAACATAGACGGTTTCAACTATGACCTGCAGCATTACAATCATCAGCATACAAAGCAATAAATATATTGTACTTATAATAGTACTTACTGGTGGTCCCCTTGGTCCTATTGGTCCCACTGCCCCTGCTACCCCTTGTTCTCCCTGTTTCAATGATAAGGACAAAGAAAATATGAAAGCTGATTCTTTGCACAAAACAAATTTGTTGTAAGACAAAAAGTCACAAAAATGAGGGAAAATGATCTTACAGGTTTACCAGAATTTCCCATCAAACCTGGTACTCCAGGGGGTCCTCTATTACCCTATTAGAGAAAAGGTAGATAAAGTTAGCTGTGCCAAAACAGCAATTATTTAGACTAGTTTGAGCACATTAATGAGGACATTAACCAGCTCTAAAATGCCAATAACATCCTATACTCATTTTTTGTCTTACTGTTTTTTTGTCTCCGGCTAATCTCTTCCACCCAACTCCTTTAAAATCAGTTCTTATTTCTTCCCTTATGTTTGTAGAGCAACCAAACACAATAATTCAGCATGAGGGGAAAAGCTGCTTGTCTTGAATTCAAGTACAAGGCAGGGTGGGAAGCAGGCAACTGCTGCAATTTTGACTCCAGCCGCCTCTTAAATGTAAAGTTGTTTTGGATTTCAGTAAATGTGGTATAAGAGTAACTGGTAGCACCCCAAGCTTACTTAAACTGAATTCCAAAATTCAGGCATATCTTCTTCATCAACTGCCTTTCATGTTTTTTAATTTCCTTTGCCCCAGACAGGAGTGTCAAATATGTACTGGCCACAGGGCCCCCCATCATCCAACCCCTAATGCTGCCCCCAGTGCTAGGTCTTGAGTTGGCCCACATGCCACATGGGGCACACTCATGGCCCAGGATGCGAGCTTCATGTAGCACCTGTCCTGGCTCCATGCAGCACCCTCTCTGGGACCCCCCCTCCCCATATGCTGGACCAACCAGAGTAGTCACCATTGTGCCATGTGGGGCTTGTAGCCCAGACTGCCTGGAATGGGCACTGCAGGAGCTTGGTGCAGCATGTGGAGAGGAAGGGTCCCCATGTTGGTACCATGTACAGTGTGGATCCTATTCCATGGCGCCTACTCCAGGCAGTCCAGGGTGGCTGCTGTGTGAAGCATGTGTCCTGGACCAGTTGGAGCAGGTGCCATGTGCAGCACAGTCCCAGACTGGCCAGACTGGCTTGATCCAGTAGTTGGTTGGGAGGGAGGGTCCATAGGTCTGATCTGGCCTGCAGGACCAGCCCTTCACTGTTCATTTGGACCAGTCTCATTTAACTAATCTGGCTTATGGGGCTGGATGAGTTTGACACTTCTGGTCTAAAATATTGAATGTTTTGGCTTAACCCCTAAGTGAATATTTCTGAAAGGCTCCAGCAGAATTGCTGCAGCCAATTTTAGTTATTTGAATTATTAGAATTGATAGCCCTTGTAATCCTATTCAATAAATGATCATGTACCATTTTCATCAGGGTACCTAATAGTATTTTATATCCTGTAGTACTAAGTTCCACAGATCAATTACATGCTGCACACAAAGACACTAATTCCTTTTAAGTGTTTGGAATCACCATCTTCTTTCATCTTTCACCCAAAATTCTTGCTACTTGCACAGAAAAAGAACTGCAAGGACCAAGCACTATAAAAGCTAGCATTCGTTTTCTTTACTGTATTTACTCAAATACAAAATACGTTTTTTTCCCCCCAGTCAGCATGGGGACAAAAGTCACTCAACTTACAATCACATACAAGGAATGTGCATTATATGCACTGTCTACCATAAAAGCCATGCCAAAAGTGCCATGTGTTCAGTAACAGAAACCAACGGTGATGTTGATTAAATACAGGCAATACTGAACATGACTATAAAACACATGACCCACATACAATAAACATACAGATTTTAGTGAAGTCCATCTGAACAAAATATATACTAGTGCCCATTGTATGCTGTCCCCCTCAGCACCGACCCTTTTTCAAAACATGGTGAGCGGCTACACTGAATGCATTTCAACTTCCTCTTCACTCCCACGGCTAAGCTGCACTTTTTCTTTCCCATTTCCAATTATTCCTATTTCTTCGCCAGCCTTACATGTCATTTCACCCAGAATCTCTCTGTCAATCCCTCACTCAGCCTGTCACAGATGATTAGTAGCCTCACCATCCATGAGGTGCAGCCAAACCAAGCTGCCCTTTGTCTCAGCTGCATATACATTTTTGGAGAATCCCAGGACTCATGACAAGAACACCTGGTTTCAGTCATGAGTGGGGGTTAATTAGTACATAGATCCTTTGTCGGCAGGTATCTGGAATACACACACTTAGTGACCAGTGCTGAGCTGTGGGATCACCATGACTTGAAAAGCTGTTTACTCTGCCGGGCCCAGCCCATTGAACTAAATAGTAAGTTATGAGCCTTTGCACTTTTGACTATCGTGTATAGGTTGTACTAAGTAGAAGTAAGTACCAAAGTGCTGATTAAAGGTGTGCTTATGGAGTATCTGTGCTAAAACTTACAGCAGTTTAAAAAAAGGTAAACTCTTTCTGTTCTAGCTGAACTAAGTCAAAGGATACCTATAGTAATTTGCCTATGTGCAAATTTTTCCCTTCATTTTCATGTGCTCAGGAAGAACAGGGTCTGACAATAAGGAGAGGGGGAAGAAGTTGGGGGTAGGAGGCAAAGGGTAAAGGGACAATCTGACCCCCTGCCCAGATTTATTTCCCAGCTGTAGCAGTGGGAAGAAGGGACAATTTCAAGACAAACCTCCAATAATTATATTCTATACCTAAAAACATTATAACAAATTTATAAATTTTCCATGCATAGAATCTAATTATTGCGGGGGGTCACCTTACATTCAAGTAAATACGGCATTTCAAATTCTATTCACTATCATTTAATCAAATGGCAAATGAATAAATTTCCCTGTATGCTTTAAAAGTATATAAGTATAAAAACCAGTTTTAAAGGAACCAAAGTGTTCAAAGTAGAATATTTAAACAATTTACCTTTGGTCCAGAAACACCTTTTGCACCTGGAAAACCAGGTAAACCCTAAAAAAAAAAAAATCACATCATTTATTTGTTATTTTGGAGTTTGTCAACACATGTACAGTGATTACTGCAATCATTCTTAAAAATTAACCTGATGCTGTAATTTTCTAGTTTATTCCACATGAAGATACTGAGGCATTTGCAAGCAGTAATGGATAAAGCCTAAAGTCCATCTATTAATAATACTTATAAAATAACAGATAAACTGTATTATCCCCAATTTGTAAACAGGCAAAAAGTAGGTCACAGAAATGAGAGCTTGTCATTTTTTTAGGTTTGCAATGTAAATTCCAAAGTTGAGTATGATACCTAGAACTATCCAAATACAATTGTATGTTCCCAGTACAATACTCCTTCTGCTGTATTCATTCAACATTCCCTCCCTTTATACCATAACTTTCATTGCAGATCATCTTTTGCTATGTTTTTTTCTAATGACAAACTAAAACAACTTTATATTACCAGTTTACATCAAACAATTTATTCTTAAAAATAAAAGGTACTTATGCATCACTGCTAACAGTCATGGTCTAGCTAATACTGTTGCCAAAATAAACCTTTTGCTATATCAAAAACTTCTTGGGCCATACACCTGGGGAGTCTACACATGTGCTTGGGGCAGTGTGTGCATGGGGGAGGGGTGAGGCATTAATTAGAGTGGTTCTTAGGAGCTGCTTTTATTAAAACACCCATACCGTCTCATGTATTCAACATCTCACACTTCAAAATGGCACTGCCACCATTTTGAAATGCGGAGACGCTGAATACATGCAACAGTGAGGCGACTATGACTGTTCTAATTAGAACACTCCACAAGACTCAGTTAATTGAGCCTGCTCCGACATGTTTTAATTAGAATATGTTGGAGCAGATATCCCACACATGTACAGGCACCCCAAATGGATATTTCCAAAATGCACTAAGCAAAAATGTGGAAAGATGGTTTAAAATTCCCAGCCTCTTCTTGCTGTGCCTGCCTTCTTTTACTGGCTGTGTCTGAGTGATCTAAGAGCTGCTGTTTGTGTCAGCCTGTACTAGCCACAAATCAACAAACATTTAATTTAAAACTCTTGGTGAAACTGCAGGCTGAACATTCCTCATGAAGGAAACCTACTCCCCCACCATGTCAAAGGTCAAGGGGTTTTGTTTATGCAAACACCTAGTTTAGTTACACACTGCAGGATCCCCCTTGCATGGGTGCTACCCTCCCTAGCTGTTCACTCAGTTTTTCCATCCAAAAAACACCAGTAGTACATCACAGAGTAGTCTATTCATTAAGTGTGAACTGAATTTAACTTTTCCATAGAATGTCCCAGATACCTACTGGCAGTCCCTGAAGTCCTGCATCCCCTGGAGCGCCAGGTTTACCTGGTTCACCCTGAAAAAAATGTTTGATTTACATTAAGTATAATAAATCTTTGATTACTATAAAAATGTCCACACAACCAGAGACAGCAACACAAACCAAAAACATATTAAACATATTGATGAATGGATCTCAGGCAAAGTTTCAACCCCCTATATCAAGCCACATGTGCGCTGACAACAGCAGGTAAAAAAATATTCCCTACCTTTGCTCCAGGCATTCCAGGGATCCCTTCCCGGCCATCAACTCCTGGCAAGCCCTTAAAAGACAGATAGCACATTGTTATAAACAGTACTCTTTACTTTCCTTAATGCTGTTCCCCAGCATGTGAAATAGAAGTTATCATGATAGAAGGCAATATATTTTAAATAACAAAATATACATACAGGTTGTCCTTTTGGCCCAGGGAGACCAGTTATTCCTCTTGGACCAGGAGGGCCCTTAAATTAAAAAAAAAAGATATTGAAATGACAGCTGCAAGAATACTCATTAATTAATCTATAGTAAGTTACCTCCAGAACTTATAACACACAATATTAATTATTATAACAGTTTACTTTTAAATAAGATTGGAAATTGGTTTGAACTCACTCTGTCTCCCTTCGGACCTAACTCTCCAAGAGAACCTCTCTGTCCTTGGTCACCCTGTAAGAAATATTTGGATTTAATTAACAAAATCTGAAAATAATTGGTAACCTTGACAGAACAAAACCTGGTAAAATCTCAAAGATTAAATTCCCTGTGGTTCAGAGAACCTATTCATCATTCTACATGCATCTTGAGTTCTAACTTGAGGCCTTAGGTAGTTCCATAAGTACTGCAGACAGACCTTGGTGGGCCCCTGAGCAGTGCTGAACTTCTTGGGAACCCAAAACTCCCAGAGTTGCCCCTTAGAGTTTGGGTGTTTCTGGATGCAGGGTCTACCTCCTGACTTTCAAACTTCATTTTGCTTTCACATTTACCCACACTCAGATTAATCTATGAAGAACTATTATTTCATATGGAAAGGGAAGAATTCATCAATAATGGAAATATAATTCAAGATATTTATAAACAGAGCACCAAATAAGGCAAATGGACATGGGACCATTGATTACAACAAATTTAAACAGATTCATCTGATCAGAGAAACTGGCTATCTAGGTTGCACCATGCTCCTGCCCATATTGAACAGGCCATTTAGACAACTATAGGTACACATGAAGTTCACTCTACGCTTTTTGAGCTAAGGAAGGGTATTTCCCTCTATTAAATAAAATATACGTTTAGTTCTTTTGGTATCTATTCTAAGGAGGGGGTTGAGTCTATAGATTTCCTGCAAGAAGCACCAAATGCATGAAAATAAATTAAACAAAACTACATTGACGCTGAAAACTGCTCGTGAAAATCAATCATAGGTCACAGTTTTCAGCACAGGATCTAGCAGACCTTGATGCAGTATAGATTAAATAAAACCACTGATCAGTTCAATATACAAATCACACAGAAACCCATTGCCAGCAAAGACCAAAGTAGGCTTGAGAACAGAACTAAGCATACCCTACATGGCACAAATGGAAGCATTGAAAAAGTAAGTTTGGTGCCTTAGAAAGCCAACAGATAGGTAAATGTTGATAAGATTGCTACAAAACACCAAAACAGGGATCAGAATGATCTGATGAACAGATTTCCCTGTATGTACAACTGTTTCATTTTTCTGGCAAAAACTGGGATATAGATAATATCACCAAAACATGTCCTATTATTTGGTGAGAACTAGAATGTGCATGCTGTAAACATTAAATTGTTTGATCACCATATAAAAAGGGAAACCCTTAGTACTTTGTATCTGGCTTCAAGGTTTTATGTTCACACCTATACCAAGAAATAACCCAACTAGCACCATGTACCAGTTGGGCACAGATATTAGGGTCTATAAGCTAGCTTATGAATAATAAACCTGGATGAGCTTTTATTATGAAGAATTAAAGCCTAGAGTCTCTTTCTTATAATTACAAGTTTATTAGGGGTTAAGAAAAACATTCATGCATCCTGCTGACTGATTCCAGTCACAGTGGATGCATGCACACATTCATTAAGGAGCCATAGATACTGTGCATTAAGTTCAATACTTGGTTAATCAAGTATTAAATCAATGTTCAGTAACACATTACTGCACAATACTGCTGATGCACAGCTAGTGATGCTTACTGCACAGTTGCATAATGCTACTGCACAGTAGCGTATTAGCATGGTTTTGCCCAGCATTCTACAGTGCAATGTTATTATTAGGCTACTGTGCTGTTAGTATTTCATGTAGACACTCCCAGTATTATATACCCGGGTAACAGCCTCATAGATGGTGTCTTGGAAGAGTACTCATAGACCACGCAAAACTGAGGAAGCCTGACATGACCACTAACACCTGACCAGTGGTTCTCAGCTTTTTTAGATTCGGGGCAGACCTCCATAATGTTTGAATTTGGCAGCAACCCGGTTGAGAACCACTGTTATACTGTTTCAGCTTGCCAGGTAACTCCTTATTCAATAAGAAGTTTATTGGACTCTTAATGTTTTCCTTTTCCCAAAACAGCACAAGACAGTAGCAGAGCAATTGTTAACTCCTGTCCACACTCTTGTTAAATAAAACAGAAAACAAGCCCTGCCCCCAGACAGGTTTGATTTTTCTGTTGCTTACATAAGAAATTCTCAGTTAGTTGCAACAGAATTACTCCTGAATTATACCACATTAGCTCAGATAGGAATGAAGCCTAGACAGCAAAACAGAATAAAATGCTATTCTACTTTTTCCCTTTGTGAAAGACTCCCACTGATATGAGTGGAATTGTTGAGAGTGGAATAAAGGTAAAATATTCAGTTAAATGAATTCAAATTGACCTGATTTTTCCTAGCTTACGTAACACATTTCTCCCCTCTCAGATTTAAAGAAAGATGTTCTGAATTATTTGAAAAGAAATACTGTGTCTGAGTGGGAATACAGTTGACATAATAAATACTGATCTTTTTTATATAAGCAGTCAAACACCATATGCTCTGCCAGCATATCAGTGAATTCTCCTGTTCGTGGGCTAGTAGTTCTCAATCAGGGTGCTGCTGGCATTGCCACTGCCTGGAGATATGTTGGAGGACTTTGAATGAATATGCAGAGCACTGTGACTGGAATCAGTCAGCAAGACACATAGAAGACTGTCTGGAAGCTGGGATTTTGAAAAACACTTTCAGAAAAAAATCAGAGTAAATATCTAGGCTAACTCTGTAAAAAGAAGTACAACCAATATGGCAGCTTGGGCTACTGAAAATAAATGTCACCCGGAAAGGAGTTAGGAGAAGCATCATGCTGTGATGACTCCAGATGGGACTAAAAGAGCTCCAACCCAAAGTGGAGAACCTCAGTAGCAGCTAAATGTGCAATAGCCAACTTGTGCTTGAAGGTGGGAAAACCTGAGCCCCACTATGCTCTATGTAGATGCAACTGGGAACAATTGTATGCAGGTGGATCTGTTGGTTGTATGTCAGTGTTTTCCATAATCAATGTGCCACCCGACCACTGCAGCCTATGGGGAATTTTTTGTTTCCACTTAAAGCCATGAACACTGGGCACAGATAGATGTGGCAGACTGGTTTGGTGGCAGAGGTATTCCTAATGATGTTGGAATGGTGGCAGATGAGCCTTGTTCTCATACTAAAAGCCAAACAGGCTGTCAAACTTGAGGTCAGGATGCAATTTTATCTCAGGTCAGGCTGACAAGGACCCTTAGTTTTTTTTCTTTTGCCTGAATCTGCAGCATGGGGCACATTCCACTTCCTACATAAAATACACTCAGATAATCCTCACAAATTCCTCAGCAGTAGCAGACTTGTCTCTCCTGCGGCATACCGGAGGTTCTTTTTACTGGGTGCTTTATAGCTGAGGTATATGAGAGAGACCAAAGTGGTTGTAGTTGGGGACTCTTTTGAACAAAATATAGCCTGGGAATGTGGCAAATGAACTTTAGTGGTCTAAGGACTTCCTTCCAGTCCTGTGTTACTAACTCCCCTCATCATAACAGGCTGTTCTGTATTTGACAGTAAAACAGCCAGATACAGATATAATGTCTGTTTAGTGGTTGCTGGAGAATTTGTGGTAAGAGTTTATACCATCAGTCCTTAATGGCCAGCTGTCTCTGCAGAGACTCTTCTGCTTTACAACTATAAACTTTCTAAAATTTACTGCCACACTAGAGGGTTTGGCTGCTACAAAATGCTACTTACAGGTGCACCAGGGAGACCTCGGGGACCCGGGTCACCATCCAGCCCACGAGCACCCTGCAAAATAGAGACACCACAAGAGGCTAAGCAAATCCTGAAAGGCATGGAGCATCTTCAACTTTCACTTGTTTTAGAGAGAGATGCAAGTGCTAGACCCTTCTCTGAATGTGACTTAGGGATTTTTATAATAAATACAAACATTTCGGCAAGCTGGTTTTTAACCTTTTTCAAACTCTATGCTGCCCTTTGGAAGTCACATTAAATGTGAACAAATTTTGCATACAGAATTCTGGCAATTATTTGTATGGAATTAATAACTGCATTTTACATCAGTGGTGCCCAACCCTTTCACCATGTGGGCCAAATGGACAGTGCCAGGCCCAGCTACAGGCTGAATCCAGCTGTTGGGGGGGGATATGCAGCCTGGCCCTAGCCTGACCACTGTGGGGCACGTGGCAGAGCAGCCCTGATCTGGACACACACAAGACTGGGGTGGGGAGTGGAGCAGCCCCAATCCAGATGCATTGGGGAGGGGAGCAACCCAGCCCTGATCCAGATGTATGAGGGGGTAGGAAGGTCTGAAGTGGCCCCAGTATATGCCAGAGAGAAAGGAGCAGCCCAGCTGTGATTCAGATGCACCAGGGCATGGGACAGGGTGGCCCCAATCAGGATGTGTTGAGGGGACATGGAGGAGCCTAGCCCTAATCCAGATGCGTCGGCAGGCAGTGGAGCAGCCCCTATCTAGGCATGTGAGAGGCAGGGAGCAGTCTGGGCTGATCCAGGTGCACAGAGGGCAGGCCTGGCCCTGATCCTGCTGTGCAGAAATGGCCCGAGCCAAGCTAGATCATGTTACATGGAAGTTCCACTGCTCCCCAGATGCCAGAAGCACCACAGGTCAGATGTCATGGCTCAGTGGCCTAGATTTGGCCCACGGGTCAGAGATTGAGCACCCCTGCTTTACACAGTCCTCTATCAAAAAGTACCAAACAGAACAATTTATCATGGGCTTTAACTAATTTCCTTTCCTTGAATCATTTCAAAACATACTAAAAATACAAATCATAAAAAAATGGCACCAACATGTGAATGGCAACTGCATAATGTAAAGCAATTGATCTTAATACTGTTTCTCATAAAACAGTATTACAATGCTTTATAGAGAATCAATTACAACCCAAAATGAAATGTTTGGAGGAAAGATGGAAAGAACAAGAAATTTCTTAAAGACAATAAATATTTCAATAGACAAGACATCACAAATAAGTGGACAAATAAACCCAGACAGTTCAGAAGAAATATATGGCTAGAATAGTACAATACCAAAAAGAAGCAGAAGTAGGCCAGCAAATGTGTCCAAGAGGTCTAAAAGGGTAAATCATGGAGTCTTGAAAAAGCAGAAAGGCGGTTTTGATTTGGTTTCTAAGAACAGAATGCTGATAGAAATTACTTAGAAAAGATGTGATAGGTTCCATTTCTTAGGAATGTGCAAGTGGCTCAATCACTGCATCCTGGCCATAAATTTAGGAAGATTACAGAAGATAAAAAAAAGCAAATCAGTTTAGAAAGTGATTAAAGGAAGGCAAAGGATTCAGTTAAGATTAATCAATCTGGGCAATTTCCTGGTAATATGGAGACTAGAAAACACAAAAAGTGTGA